TAAACACATCCAAGGGGAAAGAGTGGGTATGTCACTGTTGTCATGAGCACTTGAGGAAGAAAAAGACCATTCCATTTGAGGCCCAGAGTAATAGAATGAAGCTCCCAGAAATACCTCCTGAGCTGAATAGCCTCAATACTCTGGAGTCACAACTTATAGCTAAGAGAATACCATTTATGAAAGTTGCCGCTCTCCCGAAAGGGGCCAGAAGGGAGTCATAGGTCCTGTAGTGTGTGTCCCAGCAGATGTAAGTGAAACACATGCAGTCCTTCCCAGAATGCCTACAGAAGCTCTGCTAATCAAAGTGAAACTTAAGAGGAAGCTACAGTACAGTGGACATTACATGTATAGACAGATTAGTCCAATGAAAGTAGATGCAGCTCTGAAGTATCTTGTAGAAAATAATGAACATTACCGGGGCACGAGTATTGATGCAGACTGGGCTTTGTCTTGGAACGAAGAAGAAGGGCTTGTCGAACCATCTGTTGCTGAACCCAGGGTGGAAGACAACTCAGAAGCGCGTTCAATCCCAGAGCACGGAGAGTCAGTCAGTCAAGATGGGAATGGCATGGTAGGGACAACCGAAGATGGTATGGAAGATGATGAAATGGACAACATTCTTCAACAGGTGAATGTGGAAGAAGCAGTGGAAGAAGCAGCTCTGACCGAGGAGGAGGTACTGGACAACAACTTGCGGGGGCTGCCGCATGATACTTGCCTTCAGCCAATAGACATAGGGCAGGAGTTTCTTGACCACCATGATGAACACATCCTGTGTGTAGCTCCAGGAGAGGGGAAGGAGCCAGTTTCTGTATTTCAGGAGGTTGGAGGAGAGGCAATGTCTTTCCCTGTTCAATTTCCAACTGGGAAGTTTTCTTTTAATGATGATCGCGATGTACGTATTACGCCTAGCAAGTACTTCAAGGCGCGGCTTATGGGTGCAGATACACGGTTTGCGAGAGATACTAGCTACATATTCTTTGCACAATATGTAACAGAGCTGCGCTTCATACAATCGAACATTTCCATATCTATGCGCAAAGGTTCGCCTACAACAAGTGATGGCCGTAGAATATCTGCTGGAATGTTGTCAAACAGAGAAGACTTACAGGCCATTCTTAAGTCAGATCAAGGCTATCGCTTCCTTCAGCCAGTCAGAGGTACTCCGCAATTCTGGGACAGGGCACTAAATGAATTGTATGCAATGATAAGGCAGCTTGGGATTCCGACGTGGTTCGCGACATTTTCTGCCGCAGATTTGCGATGGCCAGAAGTGTTGGAAGCAATTCGACAAGATGACAGCACGGTACCAGTAAGCGATTTGTCCTGGGAAGATCGTTGCGACATTTTAAAGAGTAATCCTGTCACTGCTGCGCGCATGTTCGATCACCGAGTCAAGCAGTTTTTCAAACACGTCATTAAGTCTCCATCGCAACCGATTGGAGAGGTAGTGGATACATTTACCAGAACCGAGTTTCAGCAGCGCGGAAGTCCGCACATACATTGTTTGTTCTGGGTAAAAGATGCGCCAAAATTGAATGTAAATTCTGAAGAAGAGATCTGCGCTTTTGTAGACAAGTATGTTTCTAGTCAGCTACCCAACCCAGAGACGGATAAAGAGTTGTTTGACATAGTTAGTCAGGTTCAAATGCACCGAAAAGNGTATAGACAGATTAGTCCAATGAAAGTAGATGCAGCTCTGAAGTATCTTGTAGAAAATAATGAACATTACCGGGGCACGAGTATTGATGCAGACTGGGCTTTGTCTTGGAACGAAGAAGAAGGGCTTGTCGAACCATCTGTTGCTGAACCCAGGGTGGAAGACAACTCAGAAGCGCGTACAATCCCAGAGCACGGAGAGTCAGTCAGTCAAGATGGGAATGGCATGGTAGGGACAACCGAAGATGGTATGGAAGATGATGAAATGGACAACATTCTTCAACAGGTGAATGTGGAAGAACCAGTGGAAGAAGCAGCTCTGACCGAGGAGGAGGTACTGGACAACAACTTGCGGGGGCTGCCGCATGATACTTGCCTTCAGCCAATAGACATAGGGCAGGAGTTTCTTGACCACCATGATGAACACATCCTGTGTGTAGCTCCAGGAGAGGGGAAGGAGCCAGTTTCTGTATTTCAGGAGGTTGGAGGAGAGGCAATGTCTTTCCCTGTTCAATTTCCAACTGGGAAGTTTTCTTTTAATGATGAACGCGATGTACGTATTACGCCCAGCAAGTACTTCAAGGCGTGGCTTATGGGTGCAGATACACGGTTTGCAAGAGATACTAGCTACATATTCTTTGCACAATATGTAACAGAGCTGCGCTTCATACAATCGAACATTTCCATATCTATGCGCAAAGGTTCGCCTACAACAAGTGATGGGCGTAGAATATCTGCTGGAATGTTGTCAAACAGAGAAGACTTACAGGCCATTCTTAAGTCAGATCAAGGCTATCGCTTCCTTCAGCCAGTCAGAGGTACTCCGCAATTCTGGGACAGGGCACTAAATGAATTGTATGCAATGATAAGGCAGCTTGGGATTCCGACGTGGTTCGCGACATTTTCTGCCGCAGATTTGCGATGGCCAGAAGTGTTGGAAGCAATTCGACAAGATGACAGCACGGTACCAGTAAGCGATTTGTCCTGGGAAGAGCGTTGCGACATTTTGAAGAGTAATCCTGTCACTGCTGCGCGCATGTTCGATCACCGAGTCAAGCAGTTTTTCAAACACGTCATTAAGTCTCCATCGCAACCGATTGGAGAGGTAGTGGATACATTCACCAGGACCGAGTTTCAGCAGCGCGGAAGTCCGCACATACATTGTTTGTTCTGGGTAAAAGATGCGCCAAAATTGAATGTAAATTCTGAAGAAGAAATCTGCGCTTTTGTAGACAAGTATGTTTCTAGTCAGCTACCCAACCCAGAGACGGATAAAGAGTTGTTTGACATAGTTAGTCAGGTTCAAATGCACCGAAAAGGTCATACGACGTCGTGCAAGAAAGGTGGCAAGGTCTGTAGGTTTGGATTCCCTAAACCTCCAGTAAAGCAGACGTTTCTGTGCAGCCCGGTAGCCCTGCAGGACCTGACCGATG